GCAGGCACTCCTGATGTGATCTGATAGACTAAGATCAGAACGAAGGAGAAGAAGACCTCCCCTATCAGTAGACTTGGGGAGGGGCATGCATGAAGAAGGGGGAGGGAGAGTTGGATTGGGAGGGGAGGAGGGGGGCTAATGGGGGGATACAAAATGAATAAAGTGTAATTAATAGTAAAAAAATTATTGGGAGAGATCACACAAGACCATAAAATTTGAAAAACGGGTATAATTTACAAGCACTATAGACACTTGTTAGCACTGTTTGAGATGTTAGACATCCTTATTCATCCAAGAAATAGCCCTAAAGTTAGGCTTTAGTAGTGTTATTTGGAGAACAAGAAGAGAAACTTGCAGGTTAGTAAATGTTCAAATTCAAATGACCACTGTTTGCTGAAGTATGGATTTAGATCCGGATTGATCATGTTATGAATCTGTTTTATCTCCTCCTTTGTTTGTTTGACTAAGTCCTTTCACTTTTTTCTTTTAGATTTATTTATGTTATGTGTATGAACAGCTTATTCATATGTATATCTGTGCACCACTCACACGCCTGGTGCCCTTTGAGATCAGTGAGGTCAGAAGAGAGCATTGGACCCATTAGAACTGGAGTTATGGATGGTTATAATAGTCCATGAGGATGTGAATACTGGGAACCAAACCTAGGTTCTCTGGGAGAATAGTAAGTGCTCTTAAGCACAGAGCCATCTCTCCAGTCCCAGGAATAGACTTTTAATAAGAAAAAATAATATTATTTAAGGGAGCTTGAAAACTGAATATAGCAGTTTTCTATTTGTAGAACACTGAAAAAATGGCACAGTGGATAGTGACATAGTAGGTATGTTTCTACATTAGGAGCCAGAAGATGCAGGCCTGACTTTCTCCTGGGCCTCTTCTGTTATGATAGACACCTCTGTCTTCTTAGCCTCCTGCCTGTGAGTGCAGATGATGATACCTACCTATCTTGTGCACAGCTGTAAGGCAAACGTCATATGAACTCTTATGTAGAGATGATTTTCAACATCTGAAGTGATTACATTAATTGCTTTTACCACTATTATCCCCCTTTGCTTGGGTGGAAAAAAAATTATAGAATTTGACTGGGAGTCTTAAGGCTTCCATTCACAAGTTCTTTGACTTTGTGTTAGAGATTGCTTCATATGAGACAGAGGGGTTGGAGGGAACATGAAGCTAGAGAGTTGGTGGGTAGGGAGGTGTTGGAAGATCTGGGAGGATCTGGGAGAGGAGAATAATCATGATTAACGATATTCTATGAAATTCTCAAAAAATAAGCGAAAATAGTATTTGGAAAATGTAAGACCAGCAAGGAGACTGGATAGGCGTCACCACAAATAACTAGCTATTTCTGGAAAGTTTGCTCAGAGGTTTTTCAGATCCAGAGGATCCGATACCTTCTTTTGGATCTCCAATCTCATGTGCCTATTATTCAGTAAGGTCTGCTTTCTCTAAATCAACACATGTGTAAGCTGTGGGAAATGTCCATGTCGCACACCCCCCACCATTCATATAGAGTGAGCCAGTTAGTTCTAGATGCAGCGTTGAGCGAAAGGGAGATAAGGAATGGAAGACTGTAAAGGGTGACAATGTGAGTCCCTGGGGGTTGGGGTGAGCTATGGGTAGTCATCGTATGCCAGTTGGGGAGGGGGAAGAATGAGACCTAGGAGCAGCCTTTAGGAATTTCTACACAGGACTAGGAAAAAAGCCATTGTAGGAAGAGTCCGAGTAAAACCAACAGCCTGCATCGATTGAAAGTTTCCTATATGATAGGTACTATCCTAGAGACACATTAATGCACAATGGAAGGTGCAACTGAGAGGGTAGAGAAAGGATAATGTATTTCATATGTCAGCTTCAGATTGACATCTGAAAGAAATCTGTGGCTACATAAGACACAAAAAAATCAAAAGTCTTGTCCATTCCATAAATTTCCCCAAATTTATTCAATGGCAAAGATTTTTGAGGCAATGATCCAATTTTCTATGTTCCAGGACTCTGGCCACTTAGGAAATAGAGTTTGCATGTAGAGTGGCTATTTGCAATGATACAGGCCTACCACCGAGGCAGGTTATCTAAGAGAAATACAGAGGAGAGGCGACAGGATCCGCTGTGAGAGCAACGGGGGAAGCGATTATGCCTCCCTTCCTCACCGTGGTAGCCCCTATGTGTCCTGCAACAAACATCTGTTGGCAAATGAGTAAATGAATCAGTGAGTAGCTGTGGGAAGTTGTAAGCGCTAAGATTGCTTTTTGTAGCGGCATCCAGGGTATGTTCATTATGATCATCTCTCTCATCAGTAGTTTTCTTAGCCATCCTGTTTGCCTGACCTAATCCTGAAGCCTGTTTTGAAATGGTAGAGATCTCAGCATAAATTAAAAAAGGAAGGTTCAGATGAGGTGACAAAAGGGATCCTGGATATTTTTCTCTAGGTGAGAGCAGGCTTCTATAATTCAATCCTGGAGAGCTCATCCGTTGACATTATTTTTGGGTACCCTGACTTATCCAAACAGGATTTCTGGTGTGAGGACTGATGTTGTACAAATGTACTTAATGAAGTTTGGATTAAGAAGGTGATTCCAGAGGAATGTGAAATTAGAATGTGTTTTTCTGATTTGTAACCAGCATCATTTATTTACAGAGTTTGGAAAACTATTAAGAGGGACTTTTGAGTTTTCTGCCTATACCTTCAGTTAACATTTACTGAACGTTTTTATAGGGCTGGGCCGATTCTTGTTCCTTTTGGTTAGAGCACATTGGCTGTTTAATTGAACTGTTCTAAGATACTTTTTGGGAATCTTTAGGCTCCGTCCATATTCAGTGATTCGTCACTAGCAAAAGCTCATATTTTCATAAAAGTTTCCTTGAAAATTATCAGTATTTTTTTTTCTCAATCTAAATTACACTTTGGGGACAGTGAAGAGGGAGCAATGTCAGACTAATTGCTTCAATAATAACAGGACCCAGGCGGCCAGCTTTGATCTTGAAAACCATCTACAATCCAGACCACTTTGATGTTTCATACAATGGAAGCATAAATATTTTCTATTTACTACATGATTGGACTTTCAGAAACCTAATTAAGTTGAAGGTCAATTAAGAGAAAATGAAATCTTGACTCCAAAAGTCAGAGAAGAGGTGGCAGATGATAGCATGGCTATGTGTGCATAAAAGAAGTTAACTAACCTAATTATAAACTTATATAAACACCCAGAGAAATTGCCTTTCATGTGAAAAAAAGGACCTAAAGCATTTTATAACGTTGAGATCATTAATGCATCTTTGAAACACACCCAGTACTGCAAAAGAATGGTAATACTGACGTTTCAAAACTCTATTACTAAAAACTTGGAGACAGCCAGGGATAAAAGCTCTTCACAGCTCACCAAATGCAGCCCCTTGCTCTTCAAAACGAGGCTGTAAATGTGTACTTGAGTTCTGTGTCTATTGGTTTCCCTTAGGTACACTGTCGAGTCTTCACTGCCCATTTCAGAAAGCTGAAGTGCTGGCTGGAGCTGGATACTCAAACCGTAATTCTGAGGAACTCCAGGACATTCCAGCACAGGCTAAGCCACTTTAAGCCAGATTCCCGAACACCCTAAAGTCCAGCTCCAAATTTCTAAAGCAAGAATATTTCTACTTATCTCATTGGATTATGGTGACATTAGGTAGTATCCTTAAATTCCTAGTAGGAAGCTGTGTGGAGCATCACAGATACTTGAATTCCTTCTCTTCCTCTTTATCTTTGGGAATTTTGAGTTTTAGTGTCAAGTAGACATGAGGCTGAACCCATTTCCTAACACTTGCTTTCTGTATTGCCTTGGATAGGTGATTTTTCTGAACTCAGGTTTCAGTTTCTAAAGCTTTGATTATATTATGTTTTCAGGGTTGTTAGAAGAATGGAGAACATTTTATACTGACTCTGACACATACGTGACAGCGACAAAGACATAAGAAAATGTGTAACTCATCATGACCTAAAATACACTTTCAAATGTGCATGTGTGTCTGTCTGTTTTGTGTGCATAGATGGGTATATTTGTATGAATGTGATGATAAACATGCACTCAAGCAGAGGAAGAGAGGATGGAGAAAGAGAGAGAAAGACAGAGAGAGAGGCAGAGAGAGAGAGAGAGAGAGAGACCAGAACATCTTTTTGTCCTGTCATTAGCCAAAATTATGTGGTGTAGGAACTTGAATTTGAATGCTGTAGAAAGTCACTCCTAATTGAGTAAGAAAAACAAATTTTCTATTCCTTTGCTGGGTGACACACATCTTATAGATCCCTTCTTGCTCCCTCCTCCCACTTTGAACTACATCTAAGGAGCCTTTCATCTGACAAGTTCAAAGTATACCGCTTACCTCTGCATCTTAGTGAGATCTTCATTTCTAATGCCCAGGCTTTGGGAGAAAGAGATAACTGAAATTAACTTATCAGGCATCCTGCTAGCCATCAGGGACACACAGTATCTGGCCAAACTGGGTGGAATTTGTTCCTCAGGCCAATTAGTTAAATAGCAAAGGATGAAATATAATCTTGGGGCTATTCTCCTCTGACAAACACGGCACTAAGATAAAAAATTCCAGCTAAAGTAGATACGGATTGTTGCTTTCCCCAAAGTAATATGACCTTGGTGTCCACAGAATCTAAGACAGTGGCTACCAGAAACTCAAGTGGTATCTCATCATGTTTTTGTTTGTTTGTTTGTTTGTTTTGTTTTGTTTTGTTTTTAATTCCACAGTCGGAGTAAAAGACAGAGGCTATTGTGAAATGTATTACTGGTTATATTTAGAATCAGAAGGGTTGATTTATCAAATTCAAAGGCCAACTCTTGCCCTTGGAAGTGTCCAGTGTATAAATGTGCATCCCTGACCAGAAGAGCATCTGCTTGAAATGTTATGAGCTTTCACTAATGGAATCTGTAGAGCTCACTGCAAGTGGAGGTATGCCCTGAGCTCGTGACACCTGCTGCTCTGGTACTCACAGTTCACAGTGACCTTGACTTGTTTGACATCCGCCGAGGAGACCTCGTTGGCAGCCTTGCACTCATATTTCCCTGACTGCTCCCTGGTGATGCCCAGGATCTCCAGATATTCTTCTTCTCCTTCAAATTCTCTTCCTGCAAAACAGACAATTGCATGATTTTTGAAATAAATCTAAAATGTGCAGCAGATTGCTTACTTTTATAAAAAAAAAAAAAAAAACAAAAAACCCCACAATAAATCAACATGGCTCCTCATTAGTTTGACAGCATGCTTTGTCTGAGGTCAGTTTCTACAGATGCCAAGACACCATTTCTTCTGAACGTGATTAAGTGGGAAGTGTTCTGAGGAAAATAGTGGGCACACACGGGAAATGGGAGCTGGAGGAGGAAGAAGGCAAACAATGTTATGATGCCAGGTTAAATCTCCAGAAACAATGCTTACTCGGTCCTTTGGGGACTCAGGGACCCACACAATGCTTTTAACATTGTCCTGATAACAAGAAGACAAGGGGCCAGGGTGCTCAAACATTCATATCTGTCAGACATTAGTCAAGTGTTTGGAACAAGGTAGGGGTAGGAGTCAGCATGAAGCACCAGGGATATGCATGATGCCCTGTCATCATCTTGACACTACTAGTTACCCTTCTGCACCAACGCAGCTATTAGGAAGAGAGCGGCTCGCTTGTGAGAAATGTTGTTCTTCTGATTATATGGATCTTACTGTCCACAAAAATCATGTGCTGGAATTGGAAAGCTGGCTCAGAAGTCAAGAGAGCTTGCTGGGCTTCCCTAGGCCTCAGGTTCAGTTACCAGCATCCCAGGTAGCTCACAGCCACCTGTGACTCCAGGTCCAAGGAACCTGAGGCCTTAGTCTGGCTTTTACAGGCCCTTATAAGTGTGTGGCTCATACATTCACACACACACACACACACACACACACACACACACACACACACACACACAC